TTAATTCAGTTCTCACTTCGCGAGAAGGCAAAAATACATAAAAACTCAAAATATCTATATTAAAATTTATGAAGTAAATCTTAAACACTTATTTCCTCGAAAAAATTCTAGAAAGAATTAAGCATGATTTAATTGGCAATAATAAATGAATGCGTTATCTTTGTTGTTGCGAAGCTATGTTTCTCTAGATTGGCAACAAATCCACTAGTGTGCTGTTTCAAATGTAAACAAACAATGGCCGCCATCAAGAAAAGGATTAGGCTTAGCGGCACTTAAACAACTTTAAAATTGTTGATAATTCTAAAAATATTGCATAGAGATTTATTAAAGGCATAAAAACCTTAACCGGAAGATAAAAAGAACATAATACAATCATTTTTAAAGCAAAAAATGTACAATTTACAAACATATAAACTGAGTAAAGAAACTGAGATCACTGAGCCGGGTAACAGAGTGGATATATATATAAATATATTTATATACGTTTGGTGCGGCCAATTGCACCAAAATACGAGGTGCACATCTACATGTTATAGCAGTCCTATATACACAATTTCAACGTTCTGTGGCTACTTGTTTTTGAGTTATGCGAGATACGTACGTACGTTCGTACAGAAGCCACGAAAAATTCTCTTCAGAATTAATTTTAAAGCAGTTTTATAATTTTTTTGAAGGAAAAGAGTATTTTATTCTCTGTCCTTACGTACAGATATCACCCCAAAACATCGTTAAATTGCATTCGATAGCGGTCAAAATGGATATTTTCGTTGAAATATGCTGCCTGAAACTTTTCGCGATTACAATACTTCCTTTTTACTTCGTACAAGGAAGTAATTATATCCTGAATTGCTTGGCTAATCAATATCAACCTTCGGAGCTACCAATTAATTCTGCAAGGGGTAGGGCTTCTGACCCCGGCACCCTAGTGTAGCAAGCACCGTTCCACAGAGTCTGCAATTTAATGGCCGCCTATGCGTCTTTGTGCTGTAGTTGTCAGTATGTAATGTCTTGTGTTCAGTTACTGCATGGTAGCGTACAGGGTCGTTTTCTGGTTTCTTTTTTGCTCCTAAAAACCTTCCAGAGTTATTATGTAGGTTACCTGCTAGACATCTCAAATGAAAAAAGAAATATCAGTGTAGTTGCCTTGGCCAGAAAATTTGCTAGATTAAAATATTGTTGAGAATTAAGTGCAAATTTTAAAAAATGTTTTGAAGAAATTAATATAAAAGACAGAAATGATTGTTTTCCTTTGCAGTTCTAATTTTGCTTTAAATTCGAGAATTCATTTAAGAGTTAAACTGAAGAGTTTCCACTTATGTTACGTATTACCGTGATAAAAAATATATATTAAAAGAAACATCTAATAGGATTTTGTAAATATTTTTCAAAAGAAATGTATATTCAGTTGCATTCCCAGTGCTCACGTATTTATATAAATATTAAGCAATACCTATTCTTGTGAAAAGACAATTTCGTAGGTAAAATTCGTAAAACCTAACTATAGATCTGTACTAACAAATGAAAATTTCCAGTTGATTTTGATTGCAGAAAACACAAATTTTCAGTTTCAATTAAGTAAAAAGCTATTACTCCCCCCCAAAATAAATTATTTCATTAGTATTTCGCCTACAGATAACTTTGCTTACTATGGCGATATTTTGAATTTAGTCAACATAAAGGTTTGTAGGACATTTTTTTGTTTTGCAAGTATTTATCTACATATTAATATTAGTTTTTATCTTGTGGGCCTTAAAGTTGAAATCATAATTGATGGAAATATTACATGGCTTTTCATAAAAGGAGTTTGCCAACCCCATCTTAATGATGGTTTTTATAAGGAAATATATTCATTTTGTAAAACCGGATAATCAGTCACCATACAATTCATAACAAATTATCAAATTAAAAAGAAATTTGTACTACGTGAAATGATATAACAAAAATAAGGTTAAAGTTTCAGTTCGATAGAACCTAATTACTCGCGTAAAATCAGTATCTTTTGAAGGTTTTTCATATGATCGGCGATTAAAGTTTCAATAGCCCGTGACATCAAATCAGATATTTTTGGCTGTAATTCTAATGTATTGCCAGCCAGACCGCTTCAATTCAAGTACACATTTCATTGATAAATAACTACTGGAAGAGACTATGTATTACTCTTTGAATGGCTGTATCCAACACATTCTCAATTCAGAGGCATATCTATTCGTAAATGGTATCTACTAGTATCTATTAGTTGTTCAGGATAAAAGCGTTATCTTCTGTGCTACGAAGAAGACTGACATTCCACACAGTACGTATATTTGGAACCAGAAGTATATTGAAAAAAGAGTATGATCTCAGTACGACTTCTTGAACATAATGCTTGGTGCTGAGCGTATACGCAATGGATAGCACCCGGGCTCGTACATGATAACCAATGGAACCGTACATCTTTGTTCGCACGATATGACGATACGAGGGCATTTCAGAAACTAATATCAGTTGTGGCGTGGTGCCAGTAGTAGTGGGCGAAGAGCAACCATTGTTATATCAAGCAATATACGATTCAGTAAGTTTCGTGCTGTTGTAGTGAGAATGTCGTAATGCCGCTCGTATAACATCCCAAAATGTGCACTGCTATTAAAAATCTCACCAAATGCGAGGTAAGAGGAGTAATACGATTACTTTGGGCCCAAAAAAAAAACTGTCAGCGGCAGACAGTCATCATTAACTGTGTGTCGTATATGGCCCAAGCATTATGAGTGAAGGTGTAGCGCTTCAGTAGGTGAGAGGTTTCAGAGACGGAAGAACAAACATTCATGTCTGTAGTGAGTGATGATCTCGTCAAACAAATTGATGACAAAACCCGACAGATCCGTCAGTCCACAAGCTTGGAACTTCCACAACAATTTCTAAATATTTCTCGGATTGTTTTGTATGAGGTAGTCACCGGCAAATTAGGCTATCAGAAGTTCTGTGCTCGACGGTTACCGAGAATTCTCACGGTTCTCGACGGTTACCGAGAATTCCACAAAACCAATCGCACGGGGCCCGCCTTAGACTTTCTTTCCCGGTACCACGTGGAAGGGGAGGACTTTTTGAACAGAATAATGACTGACGAGGAGACTTAGGTAGCGCATGTGAATGCTGAGACAAAAGAGCAGCCAATGACATGGGGTAATACCGGTTCTCCAACCTGGCTGAGAAGCCAGTCGAACATTTTCAGCGAGAAAAGTTATGGTCACCGTGTTTTGGAGTGCTAATGGAATCTTACCTGTCGAATTCCTAAAACTTAGTACAGTAATGAATTCTGAAGTATGTTGTAACACTTTGGGGAAAGAGCCATTCAGGATAAACGTCGTGAACTGCTGACATCTAGGGTTGTGTTCCTGCACGTTAACACTCACCCAGCGAACAAAAGACCTTTTGCTCCAATTCAAATGAGATGTGTTTCAACATTCTCCTACAAGCCCGGACTTGGCTTCTTCTGATTACCGTCTGTTTGTTGCCTGCAATGAAGAAGTGGCTTGGGGACAGCACTTCGCTGATGATGAGGAACTTTAAACCGCTGTGACAAGTTGCAAGCGGCTGAATTTTATGCAGAAGAGACTAGTAATTTGGTAAAAACCTATGACGAGTGTTGGAATGTACATGCTGACTGTGCTGAAAATTAGAGTACAGCTGTACCTTTCAGATGGAAATGAAAACTTTATTGAAGCTATGCGGATTTTTTATTTACAGCGAAACTTAGGTTAATTTCCAAATTGTCCTCGTATTTGCATGTTGGAAGATGGCATTTACCACATTACCATCTACTGTTCATGCGGCCATTATTTTAGTTCCAGGTTAAAGAAGCACTCATGAAAAGTATTGCCAGTCGCTTATGTTCATGCCTCCATTTTGGCTTAGGGCGTCGCTGATTTTCGATCAAGAAATAATTGCCCACATTCTTCTGATCAGCAGATGAGTTAAACTGTGGAAGCACAGAATCTTACTGTATAATTCTTCTTACTGCCGTTAAGGAGAGGGTACGTGTACTGTATAATACATTATACTCAAGTGGAAAAGTATCATTATTGATTACAAAATACTAACATTCACGCGATATTTATATGGGAACAGGCGGAGGAAGTATTCGATGAGAGAAACATGATAGGTTGTTAAGAAATATATCAGTTGTTAAATATAGCTTTCCAGTTCAGGTAGTCCCAAAGTGATGTTCTGGCAATGAATGACTTTGCTCAGTTGTTAAATATAGCTTTCCAGTTCAGGTAGTTCCAAAGTGATGTTCTGGCAACGAATGACTTTGCTCAGGTGTTAAATATAGTTTTCCAGTTCAGGTAGTCTCAAAGTGATGTTCTGGCAACGAATGACTTTGCTTATTAAATCGAAAGCTATTTTTGCTAACATAACAAACATCACTCAAAATGGAGCAACTTGTTAACATTTTGATAGATACCTTATATTTAATGTTGACAGTTTTCTAAAGCAGTATTCACAATTTCCAAAGCAGCAAACGGGCACAGGTAAAAGCTCATACTTTACTTAAATATCAAAAATAGGATTCTCTAACTGTCAAAATTTGTATTTCTCGGGAACTAAAGCAAATAAGTTCTCAATAAGGAAAATTAAAAGCAGAAGTCCTTTTTTTCAATTTTTTGAAGCTTGGGAAAACAAGAAAAGAGCTGTACTGATAAATATAGTATAAGGTATTTCTCCCGCCTTATTAACGTGCCTTCGTAGTCGAATAGTCAGCACGCTCGGCGCGTATTAAAGAGGCCAGTGTTTCGAATCCCGGCTAAGGCGTTGATCATTTTTCATCTCTCCTGTTTTCAAAAAATACTTAATGTCTCTACAATAGGAAAAACTTTACTTTCACTTTAAGAAACTGTTTCAATGGAATGAATTTGTCCTAAACATAGTCTAAAACTTGAATTATCTTGTACTGTTTTGCATAAGTTTCTATTGGAGGAGTTTAATTAAATAAATAAATTAGGGGTAAAGTAATGAAAATTTACCTCCCATAGGCAAATTTTCTATCCTTTTCATGGTCTCCGAATGTGTCCCATAAGCGTAAAGAGACATTTACTCCATCCACGATCATCCAAGATCTCTGTAATACCTGAAATAGAATATTAATATCGTATTTCCGCAAGAAACGTTAAAAGTTAGTTTTTATTCTATAATAAACTACAAGGGGTGATCAAATGAAAAGGTACGAAACGACGTAAAAACGTAACAGTTAAATATTTGCATATTCTGCCATGGGAGAACGTAGCGAGACATCTTGGGATGCAATTGAAATCTCTGACTGGGATCGGAGTATGCGCGGGCGCCCGCATGCGCAGGAGAGAGCAGAACTCTTATCAAAAGCGTCGTCCAAATGATGCGGCAGTCCGTATGAGGCCAGGATCGTGTTCGCGTTGCAAAATTCGACGACTGAGGAGCAGCGAGGTGTTATCCGATTTCTGACAGCGGAAGGTGAGAAACCGGCAGCTATTCATCGCCGGATGGTGACAGTTTACGGGGAGAAATCTGTCTCTGACAAGTCTGTCAGAAAATGGAGTGCCCGTTTCCGTGCAGTCCGTGGAGAGTGTGGGTGATGACCCGAGACCAGGCCAGGCAAACACTGTCATCACGAGCGACAAGGTGGACGACAAGGTGAGAAGTGATCGGCGTGTCACATTGCGAATGTGACAAATGTGACATTGCGAATGGTGAAGGTGGATGTCAGCTATGGAATCATGAGGACAATTGTTCACGACAGGTTGCGATATCGGAAGGTGTCCGAAGCAGCTCACCGACCAGCAAAAGGAACTGCGTATGGGGCTAGCACTGCAACATTTGTTTCGGTAATCAGGAAGACCCCGCTTTCATGGAGTGGATCGTCACAGGTGATGAGACCTGATGCCATCACTACGAGCCAGAGACAAAGCGAGACATCATGCAGTGGAAGCATGCGTCGTCACCTCCACCTAAAATGTTCAAAGCCGTGCCGTCAGCAGGTAAGGTGTTGCTCACCGTCTTTTTCGACGTTCAAGGTCCGTTACTTGTGAAATTCCTCAAGCACAGAAAAACCATTAACTCAGATGTGTACTGTGAGACACTTCGATGCCTACGCAGGCCAATCAAGAACAAAAGACCGGGGCTGCTCACGGAGGGTGTGGTTTTGCTCCATGATAACGCGCGTCCACACGTCTCCAGAATCACACACATGGAACTGGCCAAGTTCAAGTGGGAGACTTTGGAGTATCCGCCCTACAGTCCGGACATGTCGCCCTGTGATTTCCATGTGATGTGTTTGGTCCACTGAAGAAACACCTGAAAGGAAAACGCTTCAACTTGGACGACGTACTCAAGGACGCTGTGAAGGACAGGGTCTCGTCACAGCCACAGGAATTTTGGGAACAAGGAATCCTGCGGCTTGTTCATCAGTGGGATCGTTGTGCTCAGGCCTATGGTGTATATTTTGATAAAATCTACATTTGTACCCACCGTGTCGTTTCGTACCTTTCCATTTGATCACCCCTTGTAAATAATTTGTTTGCATTATCACTGGGTATGACATAAAAATACTGGCAATTTAAAATAGAAATAAAAGGGTTATTTTACCATTATGCAGAATAATGTGCACCAGTTTGTCCTTACTTTGTTTCGCAGAAAATATTATCGAAATGTTTGCCCTACCAAGAAATACACTCATGAAGCCTCACGCATAATGGTCATTTCCTCTGTTATTCCTGTGATCTCACTAGAAACAGCTCTCTCTTTCAATTATTTGAGACATAGTTTTGCAGACTTCACATTGTAGATATCTTCAGAGCAAAATGTCATAAGTGAAAATCAGCCATGCAATATCACCGAAAGGACGCGTCCTGAAAGTCCTATTTCAAGAATTGTCTATTTTTTGGGGAATACTTAAAAGCTGAAATCTCCAAACACAGGCTTCTGACATTTTAAAGAAGCTGCTCATATTAAAATCGCTGTAATATCAGTGAATACTGCAAAACTCATGAATGGGATTTAAGAGTGTTAGCTGGTGTGGCCATTTCGAAAACATTACCTTTAAAACATAATGATGGCAAAATAAAATGTGGACTGTAATCTATGTTGTCCTCTTGGTTTCTTTTTCACATCGAGAAGACTTTTATGCCTGACCTTACATGTAAATAAAAATTCAGGAGCGGCACTAAAAAAGAAAAGAAGCAATGTGCTACTTTTAGAAGAAATTCGTTCCTGTGTTTATTCATAACTATCTTTATAATTTATTCCATTCAATAAGGTGCAGGTATTAATTACTGTTGTAGAAATATACTAAAGGATCTGAAATAGTTCTTAAAATTTAGTTATGCTGAAATTGTCCACTATATGTATATATTAGTTTAACGAAAATTAGGTTGCATTTCGTTTCAGGCTCTATGCAACTAGGAAAATGCATCAGGATTACCGGATAACCGTTGACAGCTAGACTATCAGTGAAAAATACACTCACAGAAAGCCTTCTATTGCATATTAAATTATAAAGCGTTAAGAATACCTTGAACGCAGTTAAACAACATATTAAGTTTTACGTAGATTGTTAAGTTTAAAATTTTACATCGACATTTCAATAAAAACATCAAATTCGTATTGTTAATGCCGCTTTCATTGTTGAATCTGTAGTTGAAAGTCGCCATATTATAGATTTATTTCCATTTATGCGGTTTTATAGGTTTTTCACCATCAATATTCAGTGTGATACAGTTGCAGCTAGAAGCTAAAAGTGAACTTTCTCACTGTAACCATTGGCTTAGAACATTAGCCATTAGCGGTCGCTGCTTTCCCTCCATAACAAATTTTAATCGTGTATAATTGGAGAGATTTAAAGGAAAAAAAGTCTGAAAAGGAAAAGGTTGACTGTTATCTGTTCAACACTGGAAAAATAATGATTTTCTGAGAAAATCTGGTAACACAAAATATTTGGAAGTATAATTTATGAGGGGAAGACTGAATTAAGGTAGAAAGAGAAATTTTTACAAAACTCTGTATACAAAATGCTGCCATTTAAGCTGTAGTAAATATAATTCTAATAGAAATTTAATTTTTATATTCATTGAAGTAAAACTGGATTTCAAACCTTAACAATAATAAAAGTAAATAAATAATAATAATAATAATAACCCTGATCTCAATCTATATCTGTTTAAAACTTGTTATGTCCTTTACATATCGCTTAAAATATAAAATCAACGTTCCGCCTGATATTAACTCTACTAACTGAATAACAAAAATTTTTAACTTAAATGGCAGAATACCTATATTCTTGTGAAATTTGTATAATAAACCCATGTGTTTCAAGCAAGCATAAATGTGTAACGTGTATATGAGCCAGTTTCCCTTAGAACGTCCCCCGCGAAGGCATCCCTTCCCTTAGACAGATAGCCCTCGAGGCTTTGCCGTAATTTAATAAACCAATAAACCAAGTCAAGCAGGCATAAACTCATTCAAATTCTCAAAATACAGGCCTTGGTCTTAAATCAAGAGCCACAGCTGAAACACAGACATTGAAATTTCGCGCTTTTGATGGTGTTCTCATCTATGGTAGGATTATATGTTTGTAGAGACATTAGGATTTTTTTACCTCGCCGAGAATCGAACCACGGACCTCTGGAATACAGGCCCAGCGTGAACCAGTACACCACGAAGGCATGCTAAGAAGGTGGGAGATATACCTTATAAGTTCATACTAATTTTTATATTATTACATCAGTAAAAATAAATACTTTTATTTGATCTTTACGGTTACATTTATATTGATTTTATAATATCATATCAGTCAAAATTAATACTTTGATTTGATCTTTATCTTTTAACATTAATGAACTTTTAATTCATTACTTGATATGATTCATGAATAAAACTCCATTCTTTTCTTTGCACACAGCGATCAGAAATGTAGGTACAAGTAAATTTGTTAGGAAAAAATGATTTTAAGGGTGATAATAACTTAGCCCCCTAACCGGCAGAGGCGCATATATGCGTTCGAAAATATTGCCTCTCTTACCCGTTTTTTCATTCTGCCTAGTACCTGTTTTTTAATTACAATTAGAATTTACACAATTTCATTTAAATTATAATTACGCTGTATTTATGAAATCTAATTTCATATTCAATGCAACTGCAATTACATTGTAATTGCAATTATATAATCTAATTACAATTACACTGTAATTGTAACTGCAGTAGGTAATTATAATTATATAACTAGGAAAGTAATTGCTTCTGATGAATGCAGTTACGCAGCCCAGGAAAATCATGATCTTAACTGCAAATGTTACTGCAGTATGCAATTGAAAATACATAGTAATTGTAATAATATTAAGCACTTATTTTGTAATTACAATTACAATGTAACTATTTTTAACTACGATTAAAATTTACGCAAATGCATTTTAATTATAATTACATTTTAATTGTGAAATAATTATGTAATCAGAAAGCAACTGCCCTTTATAATTTCGGTGACATAGTTCAGTGACAAATGTTTTCATTTCAGTGACAAATGTTTTCATTTCAGTGACAAATGTTTTCAATTTTGGATGATGAGTTTTAAATAATAGAACGGAATAATCACCTCTAAGAAAAACATTACTATTTTCTGTCCGGAATCATCCTGCATGTACTGCATTTTGTGATACCAGCATAAATTGGAAATAAATTTAAAGAAAGTAATATCGGCTATTTTATATAAGCCTAAATGCACATAACAAAGTAAGCAAACATGTATGTTTATGATCTTCGACATGCATGTGAGTTTGAATTATAAGATTAAGGAAAAGCAAGCAAAGAGTATATGCCTGCGTAAAGGGATGTTTTCGCGGAGTATTTGTTAAGGGAAGCAGGTCTTGTTTTATATTTACACAAGAAATAATAAATCACGAAAACTTCCTTTTATCCTTTCCTTTTCAGCAAGAGTATCATCAAGGATTAAACCAAGTCTCATAATTTTATTCAACCGATTGCTTTAGCTGGTAGAAAAATGACTCTGACCTGCAATAAGTCTGCTTAATTGCTGTGTGTACTAAATATTTTTCTAACTCTATTTATTACGAATTGCCGCCCAGACGAGAAAGTGGTTCGTTA